AGGCCGCCGCCCTCAGCCCCTGCGTCACTCGCACGTCAAGTCCCTCAAAACTCATAAAGGCCACCGCCCTCAGCCTCTGTGTTGCTCGCACATCACGTCCCTTAAAGAAAAAAAGCCACCGCCCTGAGCCCTTGCGTCGCTCGCACGTCAAGTCCCTCAAAAAACAAAAAGGCCGCCGCCCTCAGCCCCTGCGTCGCTCACACGTCACGTCCCCCCAAAAAAAACAAAAAGGGAATTGACTCAAAAGACAAAAAGGCTGCTGCCCTAAGCCCCTGCATCGCTTGCACATCAAGTCTCTCAAAAAATAAACAAAAAAGGCCACCGCCCTCTGTCCCTGCGTCGCTCGCATGTCCAGTCCCTCAAAAAACAAAAAGGCTGCTGCCCTAAGCCCCTGCATCGCTTGCACGTCAAGTCTTTCAAAAAACAAACAAAAAAGGCCACCGCCGTCTGTCCCTGCGTTGCTCGCATGTCCAGTCCCTCAAAAAACAAAAAGGCCTCCGCCCTCAGCCCCTGCGTCACTCGCACGTCAAGTCCCTCAAAAAATAAAAAGGCCACCGCCTTCTGTCCCTGCGTCGCTCGCATGTCCAGTCCCTCAAAAAACAAAAAGGCCTCCGCCCTCAGCCCCTGCGTCACTCGCACGTCAAGTCCCTCAAAAAATAAAAAGGCCACCGCCTTCTGTCCCTGCGTCGCTCGCATGTCCAGTCCCTCAAAAAACAAAAAGGCCTCCGCCCTCAGCCCCTGCGTCACTCGCACGTCAAGTCCCTCAAAAAATAAAAAGGCCACCGCCTTCTGTCCCTGCGTCGCTCGCATGTCCAGTCCCTCAAAAAACAAAAAGGCCTCCGCCCTCAGCCCCTGCGTCACTCGCACGTCAAGTCCCTCAAAAAATAAAAAGGCCACCGCCTTCTGTCCCTGCGTCGCTCGCATGTCCAGTCCCTCAAAAAACAAAAAGGCCTCCGCCCTCAGCCCCTGCGTCACTCGCACGTCAAGTCCCTCAAAAAACCAAAAGGCCGCCGCTCTCAGCCCCTGCGTTGCTCGCACGTCACGTCCCCCCAAAAAAACAAAAAGGGAATTGACTCAAAAAACAAAAAGGCTGCTGCCCTAAGCCCCTGCATCGCTCCCTCAGCCCCTGCGTCACTCGCACGTCAAGTCCCTCAAAAAACAAAAAGATCACCGCTCTCAGCCCTTGCGTCGCTCGCACGTCAAGTCCCTCAAAAAATAAAAAGGCCATCGCCTTCAACCCCTGCGTCACTCGCACGTCAAGTCCCTCAAAAAACAAAAAGATCACCGCTCTCAGCCCTTGCGTCGCTCGCACGTCAAGTCCCTCAAAAAATAAAAAGGCCATCGCCTTCAACCCCTGCGTCACTCGCACGTCAAGTCCCTCAAAAAACAAAAAGATCACCGCTCTCAGCCCTTGCGTCGCTCGCACGTCAAGTCCCTCAAAAAATAAAAAGGCCATCGCCTTCAACCCCTGCGTCACTCGCACGTCAAGTCCCTCAAAAAACAAAAAGGCCACCGCCCTCAGCCCTTGCGTCGCTCGCACGTCAAGTCCCTCAAAAAATAAAAAGGCCATCGCCTTCAACCCCTGCGTCACTCGCACGTAAAGTCCCTCAAAAAACAAAAATGCCACCACACTCAGCCCATGCGTCGCTCTCTCGTCAAGTCCCTCAAAAAACAAAAAGGCCTCTGCCCTCAGCCCCTGCATCACTCGCACGTCAAGTCCCTCAAAAAACAAAGAGGCCACTGCCCTCAGTTCTACGTCGCTCGCACTTCAAGTCCCTCAAAAAACAAAAAGGCCGCCGCCCTCAGCCCCTGCGTCGCTCACACGTCACGTCCCCCCAAAAACAACAAAAAGGGAATTGACTCAAAAGACAAACAGGCTGCTGCCCTAAGCCCCTGCATCGCTTGCACGTCAAGTCTCTCAAAAAATTAACAAAAAAGGCCACCGCCCTCTGTCCCTGCGTCGCTCGCATGTCCAGTCCCTCAAAAAACAAAAAGGTCTCTGCCCTCAGCCCCTGCATCGCTCTCTAGTCAAGTCCCTCAAAAAACAAAAAGGCCTCTGCCCTCAGCCCCTGCTTCACTCGCACGTCAAGTCCCTCAAAAAACCAAAAGGCCACCGCCCTCAGCCCCTGCGTCGCTCGCACTTCAAGTCCCTCAAAATACAAAAAGGCCGCCGCCCTCAACCCCTGCGTCGCTCGCACTTCGATTTCCTCAAAAAATAAATATAAAAGCTGACGCCCTCAGCCTTTTTGTTTGTTCTCCCCCCAAAAAAACAAAAAGGAATTGACTCAAAAGACAAAAAGGCTGCTGCCCTAAGCCCATGCATCGCTCGCACTTCAAGTCCCTCAAAAAACAAAAAGGCCGCCGCCCTCAGCCCCTGCGTCGCTCACACGTCACGTCCCCCCAAAAACAACAAAAAGGGAATTGACTCAAAAGACAAACAGGCTGCTGCCCTAAGCCCCTGCATCGCTTGCACGTCAAGTCTCTCAAAAAAGAAACAAAAAAGGCCACCGCCCTCTGTCCCTGCGTCGCTCGCATGTCCAGTCCCTCAAAAAACGAAAAGGCCACCGCCCTCAGCCCCTGCGTTGCTCGCACTTCAATTTCCTCAAAAAACAAACATGAAGGCTTTTTGTTTGTTTTTTGAGGGAAATGACTCAAAAAACAAAAAGGCTGCTGCCCTAAGCCTCTGCGTCGCTCGCACGTCAAGTCTCCCAAAAAACAAACAAAAAAGGCCGCTGCCCCTGCGTCGCTCGCACGTGCAGTCCCTCAACA